AAGGACTCCACAGTTGAACCCTGAGCTATACATATTCACCTCTATTGATATCTTTATAATTTATGTGATTTTTTAAAGATATTTTTTAATATATTCCAAGACATCTCCTATCACTTGAGCAAGAGAGTTGGCTTTGCTGCCTGGAGATGATGACAGCGGTGGTCCAGTGCATCTGCAGGGCCCTAAATTGGGCTATTAGCACAGAATCCACTGGGTGCTGTTGATGGGTGAGGTGACACCCTTACCAGCTCCACCCACCTGTACTTCCTAAGGCTCTTTCCCCCTCCCCTCTCCATGGCACTTGCACTTCTGAATTACTGTCACCTCCACATGGCTTTCCATGTTTTCTATAGGCTGTGCATACCACTGTGGGACAAAATAGTGAGCGCTGCATGTTTTCACCACACTGGCAAGCTCTTTGTAGCTGCCTTACACTGTAAGTGATTTTTTCCAAGCATGATTCACAATTTTCTTTAGCAAGATTTATTGAGACGAAAGGATGGTGTTACAAGAATGCCAGCCACTGAACTGTTTATTTGGAATACCATACAGCCTCGGTTATACTGGGGTGGAGACCTTTTGATTCTCTTTCTAGTGGCCTTTTTATGATCCAGTAAGGAGGTGAGTCTCTTCACTGACAACGGGGAAGCTTGTGGCTGGTTGTTACGTAACGTTTTCTTGAATGCCCATCAGTCTGGGGTCCAACTCTTGCGCAAGTTTTGATTCCAGGCCAGGGGGAACATGGCTGCCAGCACAAGGACAAGGCAGATAGTGGCTGAAGGACTGGAAAATCAGAGACTCGGCCCTTCTGCTGGGGAACCCTGCCAAAGAAAGGGTCCCTGGTTGCTGCCAATCTTAGCTGACGATGGGCAGGACATAGGCACAGGTAGCAGTGCTAAGATGGTGGTAGCAGGGAGGTTGCAACCTATAACGGTAAGAGTTTAAGCCCTCCTCCCCTTATTCACAGTACTGCTGTGGGAATGGCAAGTGGGGTCAACACTGCAGAGCTCCTTTCGGATACAAGTGGGTTCCTCTGCTGTAATGGTATGTGAGAAAGACCTTGAGAAACGGCAAAGAGACACTGCCTAGGGAACAGTCAGATAAGAGGGGGCATAGCCCACAGCTGTAAAATGGGTGGAGAAAGGCTCAGAAGGGACCCTACCTAGCTTCTCAGACTGTAAAGGAGACGGAGGGGAGAATTGTCCTTTCAGACTTGTAAGATTCTGTTGATGTAGCTTTACAACAAATTAGAATTAGCTCATCTGGTTGTGTTTCCTGCCTGGGAAGGCTGACATCTGCAATGCGTTGTAAGGGCAGGTTTTAAGCTGTAGCTCAGGAAAGCATTGGCATGGCAGATATGGTGCAGATTAAGGTCAGTCTCTCCTTTCTTTTAATACATTTTTTAATTAGGGTTTTTCAATATAGTAAAATTATATGAAACAAAAAAAGAGAAAATAAGAGAAAGGAAATAAGAAAGAAAAAAAATACAATTATGCCTTCTGCCCTTCTTTCTATTAAATAATTATCATCTTAATCTTTTCCCCATCCTCTTAAGCCTTCTTAATCCCCAAATCATCAATTCAATCTTTTCTTCCTTCGACAAAAAGGCCAAATAAGGTTTCCAGTCTCTCTTTCTGAATATTTGCTTTGGCTGTGCTGCAATGAGAGGCAGCCATGGAGTTTAAACATACAGAAGGACTAAGCTGTAGTTTGCTGAATTCATCTAGAATTGGGGTTCATATAAAAGCCATCAGTGATGCTTAACAAGCCACAAGGACTGAGTTCGTGCAACACCATGACCCAAAACTGAGCAAGGGCCTGTGTAACATAGCCTGAACTACAAATCCAGCCCGTGTGAGTTTTTAAAAAATATTTTGATCTCACTGAGTGATCATCAATGGATGTTAGCATTGCATGTTATATAATTTAGTTTGAATGTGGAGGTTGCAAGTGAGCAATCTTAAAATGGAGTGAAGTTCCCTTCCTGTTCCATCCAGATCTCACTGACTCCTAGCAAAAGATCTGTACGAAGAACACACAAAGTTACCTTCAGACCTGTAGAGGATCCTTTCCCGTGTCATGCAATCCTTGTGCATTGCCAAAAGGTCTGGATGTACAAAAAACTCAAGTAACTTAGAATATACCCACGCTTTCATAAAGTGGCGTGCATGTTTCAGAGGACAATGTTTCGCAACCTGCTTTCAAGCCAGTGTGTGTGTGTATGTGTGTCAGTGTGCACATGCCCACACCATAATTGACCTCACTGCAGCACTCAAGATTCCCTGGAATGGTCAGGTATGCCATTTGGCATGGTTTGAACCACTTTGGGGCTAAATATCTAGAATTTTTAACTGGACTTAGCATCCCCCAAAATGTGCGTCATCTGATGAACTCACAAGAGTGCAGAAAGGAAATTAGAACAACTGCATGGTTGCCTGTCCACTTTAAAGTACCTGCATTGATATGTGTGTCTCTGTGTTACTAGAACAACACACCTGTTGACTTCTGCGATGTTTTTTGTACCACAGGGCCTAGCAAATATATTCAAGTGAACATGCAGAGATTCCTCTGAAAGGGTTCACAAGTTTCCTTTTGCAGATAGTTAAAACGGTGTTGAATATTCAGGCTGAAATATTTTTGCAGTTCCTATAAAGTTTAGTGGTGGTTTTCATCTTACAAGATTGTCTACAACTGTGCGATCAGACACCTTCAATAAGTCATCCTGAAGATGGGTTATGAATCCAGATTCATTTGATGCTCAGCTAAAATAAAAGTAAAAATATTAGGAGGAGCATTGTAGTTGTGTATATGAATATATAATGCTGCAAGTCTTACGGTAAATTAAA